AGAGAGAGAGAGAGAGAGAGAGAGAGAGAGAGAGAGAGAGAAAGTGAACGCTCAGTTTTCTCATTTTCTCCGGACGCTCCCGTTTCATTTTTCTCGCCCGATTTCCTGCACGTAAATGGGGAAACGCGCGGGGCGGTTTTAAAAGTGTCGCGGTTACGCGAGTGGGCGAACGATGGTTTGCCTCGCGCGGGATGCGCCCACGAGTGCAAAGCGAGTGGAAACGCTCTCTCTCGCGTAGAATAACGCCTACCCTCCTCGACGCGCGTAAGCGTTCAACCCTTGTCATCGCGCGGACGTCGTGTAAATTTAGAATTCCTTCACAATGGGAACGTCGCGCTACGATTCAGCCTCTTCGGCTCTTCTTCAATGGGATATTAACCGGTACGAGATGAAGTCGTACGTGTGCGATATATGTATGTACTCGGAGCGTGCGACGCGCTTCTTTCCAAGAAACACAAAAGAGACTCATTGTCAGACAGTTGTCTGATCTTCCTTTAACCGGCCACATTTTTGTCGAGACGCGCAACAACTGACTGGCAGAAAAATCATTGAACGCAATTTTCATTGATATTGTAGCAAGACTCGTAATTAATAATCGTCGCGTAATTGCGTCAATAGAGTTTGAAATCGTGGAAGTTGCAAAATATTTAGCACAAGCATGTACAGAAATTGTAAAAGTACTTAAGCTATGAATTCAGTTGAACATTTAACTCGGTATAGAAACGAGTTAATATCACTGGATTATTAATTTAATATAATTAATTAATTAATTAATAACATCAACGGGACGCTACTCTTTCGATTCAATAAGTAATAATTTCCGTGCAATCCTCGCAAATATTCTAAAGAGTCCTCATAGACTGCGAATATGCATTTAGTATCTAATCAGAATGCCGCATCGTTTGACGAAGGGAAGGGAAAAGTAGATGTGGTGAATGTTTGTAAAGTAAAAGTCATTTCTCTACTACTTCAAAGTAGTAGACTCGACGTATTCGTCTAACAAAGCTTCTCTCGCGAGAAATTTTTGCACCGTGCATTTGCGCAACTTTTTATCCAACCAAATACAACCTGTGTACCTATATAATGCACGGTACAATATATAATGCATCGGAAACATCTCTCGCAGAGCGTCCGTGTTCATTTTTCCATTAGCAGCCGATAAATTGGATCAACCGGTCATTCGTTTATTCTGTCGGGGGTAGGGGAGTTGGTGCCAGCCTCGAAAAATTCGCTTAATTGAAATCGATCATCTATGCACGCTGGAACACTCCAGCGAGATTTTTCCTCCATTACCTGGCGTGTTTGAACATCTTACAACGTTCTACGATCCATTACCGTCCGCTCGCCCGTCGGAACTCGAGAAATCGAGTTATTCCCGGACGTGCTTGCCTCGCGCGGGAATAAGAAAACACAGCCGAGCGAGAACACAGAGAGAGCCTCGAATCGGCAAAAGTTGGCGAGCGCGATCCGCGAGACGGTGTAAAAAGCCGGTTAGATGCGGCCGCAATGTGTGTTTACCGTCCGCATGGTTACACACACAAATTCCCTGTTCTTGCCGAGGAATTTCCCGTCGCGCGCGCGCGCGTCGCTCCTTTGCTCGAACGACCCAGTTTTACGAACTTGACGCCGCGGTCGTAACGTCAAGGAACTTTATAACAATTTTCCTGTTGTGCGGAGGAACAGTTAGCTGGCCGCTGGCTCGATCATCGACATTCATTTCCCAAAGGTCGCCTCCGCGAGGAAATTTCGTCACGGCTGAAACAGTTCTCGCGTGACGCGACAATATTGTTATCACTTGGCGCGACTTGATAAACTTGGACAATCCTCGTATGTTTAGCACGAATTCCTCCATGGATTCTCTTCTTCTAATGTAATGTGTTTCGCCCAGCACAGTTTCCATTACAACACGAAACGAATAAACAGCGTTATGCCAGTGTTCACTACACAATTTGTGCATGTAATTTGCTTTCTTGTCATCTGAAAGATACTTTGATGCTTATCAGAATGTTCTTGTTAAAAAAGAAATTTTTTATCTAAAAAAAAATTATTAATCGTCTTTCAGATAACAAGAAAAAAAGATATTAAATATTCCTTTGGTAAAAATATGATCTTCGTTTGATAAATATGATCGTTTGTTCGATCATGGTAGGAATAAAATCGAGATGATACATTTCGAAGCAGTTAGAGCGGTATGTCATATACTACAGGACAATATCGATATATCATTTGTACTAGATTATATTGTAGGATTGATGAAGTATAGTGTTACTCGACGAACAGCGTGCACAGATCTTTTACGGGATTTTTAAGGATTTTTTCAATTCAAAGGGCGGATTTGAAAATTTAAAAATTTCGGAGCAATTAGCGTTAGCGCGAAATTACACTACGTGCAAATACAAACTACCGAGAATAAAACGTCGGCATTTAAGGCTTGAAATATTTAAACGGGATTTCGTTACAGCTCGAACGCGTTGCCTTCTGCTTCAACAGGTATCAATAAGACATTGTAATTTATCGATAATCGATAATTTTGTTGCACAGCTTTGTCGCGTCATTGCGCGTGAAAACGATAAAGAACTCCGGCTCGACCGAGTCGATTCTGTCGTTTAGTCGCCCTTCGTTCACTGTAATCGGCCACGGCTAAATGTTAATTCCCTCGATCTTGCTTCGTGTCCCATTTCAAAAGCATTGCAGAGGTAATTCGATTAGAATTACCACGGGAAATTGGCGATATTTGCTCGAAAATTTGTATTCGTACGTCACGTTTAATATGTGAACGAAAGTGGATTAGCACTCTAGTTCTCTGGACATATTTATGCTTTATGATTTTTATTGCTGTTGAAGCGATCGTTAGTTATAACACAGAGTCTTGTGTAAAGTACATGGGACACCGTGGATGATTTATATTATATTTAATAACTCGCCGTCTGAAGGGGCACCGAGTAATACTTCAACTTTCGTAAAAATTCATTTCACTTCTGTCGAAATAAGCTCGTAGCCTTATATGTGATAATGTCGTTTAATTTCCTCCGTGATAAACGCGATGATGACATTTCAAAGTAATTTTCACGGAGCAACAGTGTGCTTAAGTCATAATGTTTTTCTATCAGTATTCCCAAATTCAACTGACCTGGTGTTCTCCTCTTCAAAATATTGCTTCTAATATTACCTTCATTTCCAACTAAAACTGACTCGAAGTGACTGCCTGCACGATTTTCACACGGCGTAAGCAAATGAGCGAAGCAAAGATGTCAGATCAGACGATTTTATAATAAAATACCGAGAGTCAGTTAGGGTACCTGTATCTTAACATTGTCCGTTTTCCCGTAGTTGAGAGCCTTGCCAATGTTCAGCCTGAACGTCTCTTCCGGCAATGTGTGCTCCTCGCGCGGCTTGAAACAGTTCGAACAGAGTTCCTTCTTCCAGGCGTTCTGCACGAAGCGGTTGCATTGTGTGGACATCGTTGCTTCACTGCAGCGACAGCGAAAGTCCCGTTACATCATCACCCTGAAAGGAAAGAAGCGAAATAGTGAATCGTCCGATTCTTAACTCGCCGCTGGCTGCGGTGAACGGCGAGTTTCGTGCTGCACGTGTGCGACATCGCGCATGAGAGAACCGCTCCTCCTACACCAGACCTGTGTACACCACGTCGTGTTCCTCCTCTAACGAGACATTACTCCAAATGTTACCTCTGCGAGAAGATCGACTTGAAACGAGTCGGCGGTCTTCGTTTCGTGATCGAAAACTTGCCACTTTTCTCGCCCTATCTAACGCTAGAACTATCAAATTATGCCCAGCAAGAAAAACTTTTTGAGAAGAAACAGAAAAATGAATTAAACCCAATCCCATTAATCTGTAATCTTTGTTTTACAATAATTCCTGTTAGAATTACTAAACCATTCTAAATTTGTCTACTCGTTTTAATGCTATAGTTTACAGTCTGTGCTCGTGGTTGAACAAACAATTGGAAAACGTAGAACGAGAGCGAGAAATAAAATTCTTCCAATGGAAATAATACCCCTCTTCCGCTAATTATAGCCTTCAAGTTAAATTACATTTGTTATTTATCGAAATTGCTCAGTTTCAGATCATTGAGAGAACAAATTAATTAAATCCGATGATTCTCTGATTTTTGTTTTACAAAAACTCAAATAGTAGAATGATTTTTGTAATTATACGGTTGTTGGAGAAATGAATTCTCCTTTTCTTCGAATTTATTATCTATTGAAATTATTCAGTATCAGGTCATGAAGAACTGGAGAGTGTAGTTTTTGTACAATAGAAACTTACCAACCCTCAAACTCTATTAAACGAGTATAGTATCGTACACAGCATAGTATAAGAAATTAATTAAATAGAACACGGATCCTATGATTCTGTGGTCTTCATTTTGGAAAAACTTAGCAACTCGTAGAATAATTCTTGTAATTATACGGTTGTTAAAAGAAATAAAGGACATTGCACAATAAAAGCAAGGAATAAAATACATCCAATAGAAATGAATTCTCCTTTTCTTCGAATTTATTATCTATTGATGAAGAACTGGAGAGCGTAGTTTTTGTATAAAAGAAAACCAATCCTCAAACTTTATTAAACAAGTATAGTATAAGAAATTAATTGAATAGAACACGGATCTTATGATTTTGTGGTCTTCATTTTGGAGAAACTTAGCAATTCGTAGAATAATTCTTGTACTATACGATTATTAAAGCTACCAAACCACTCTAGATTTGTCTAGAATTTGTCACTCTGATACTATAGTCTATGAACAATTAAATAAATCATTAAAGAATATTGTAAAATAAGAACAAGAAATAAAATACAATAGAAACAAAACCTCTTATTTCGAATCAGATAGAATCTACTATCTATCGGAAAATTATTCAATTTCAGACTGGCTTCTGCATAACTCGACTCAATTAAAGTGTCAAAAAGCTTGCATCAGCAGAAATATAATAATTTCCTAACAGTCGTCAAAAATTCGCGGCCCACCCCTAATTTATATAAAATTTGCAAATAAATGCTAAATTAATAAAAATAAACATTCCTCGATGACAAACGCCGCTAATAAACGTCAAAGTTCAACGATCTTCTAAAATTCGAAGACAGCTATAATTAATATAAATCGCCATCAACGTCAATATTTGTCAAATTATTAATGTCCAATGATTTTGCTAAAGCCGACAAGTGTGCAAACTAGTGGTCCTCGGCGCGCGCTGCTTCCAACTAATACGTCATCGACAAACATTCCCCAAATTGTCAGAGTTTCCGAAAGTCGACAAGTGTACAAATAGCTCGCCAAAATTCCCGAACAATTCTAATTAATACGGGCGCGGTTATCGAGATGTGTATTCCGAACGATCAACGCAAATTTCGATAATATTTTCCGCGGCCCCACGGCTCGCCATTAATCTCCTTAACGTGTTTTGCAACGAATTACATTCAGCGAAATGAAATTTAAATGGGATAATCAGGGTAATTAATTGCAGGTTTGATACCTGACGAATCCTATAGCGGCCA